ACACACACACACACACACACACACACACACACACACACACACACACACAATGTCCGTGTGTGTGTATTTGTTTTTACTACAGAGTGAGGACCGTTTGCACCATAGTTACTGTCATAGAGATATCTTTGATGTAAAATAAGGATCTCTTCAATGTCCTTACTTTTTTGCAGCTCTGCTGTCCTTTACTAATTAGGTTTGGAAGTATGGTGTGAATTAAGTTTTGGTTCAGGTTAGTGTTAACTATAGACCAGTAATGGTTAATTTTAGGGTAAATGTCTGGTTTAGGCTAGCCTGGCCCTTGCCTTCCTAAGCAGTTCCACTCAGTTCTAGTTTCCCTTCACTGCTCTGTCTGGGATTTCTCCCATAGACAAGGATTTCGCTGGCAGATTTTTAGCCGAACCAATCAGAGAACAGAACGTCAATTTTCTGCACAGTGTCKGCTTGTAGTTTATTTTACCTGGACCAATCAGCAAACAGAAGGCAGAGTWTTGAAYGACGTTGATTTTCTGTGCAGTGTCTGCTAGTTATTTTAGCATACGGAAGTGGAGGAAACATGGGCGTGGAAGTGGGGGGAAATGTGGACCTGACTACCTCAGTCTAGGGTCCTTATTTAAGTCTATGGCAGCACCAGGCTGGGCTGATCAGCACCACCTAAACCTTAGGCCGGCATCACACTACAAGAAAATCATGCCGRATTTTGCCCATCCGACAATCTTAAGGAAGTCCAGATTATCGTGATGGCTCTAAAGATAATCATAGCAGATATTCCCGCCATGGGTGGTGAGTTAAGAGTGATCTAGTCGGCTCGGAAGGACGTCAGGACCGCTCCAACCTCAAATCAGGAATATTCAACGTGTTTGATTTTTTTTGGGCCGATATCACAGTGTGTGTAGTGTTCACCCGAGCTCTCAGCCTGTTGAATGAGACGTGTAGCCAATCAGAAAGCGAGGTGACGTAAACACAGAGGGGAATCCAMATACAGAAGACAAAATACTGTCATGACTCACCAGAAAGTCTGCTGGATGTTAAAAGTCCTATGAAATTGTTTTTCCTCTGGTAAAAATAGTCCACAAACAACAATGTTTCTTCCTCGTCACAAATGTTTATTTACTCTGAACTCACGTCTGTCTGGAGGTTACATGAGATTTTTCCTCGGACATATGAATTCTCGCGAGATTTCAGGAAGTTCGCGTGATTTAATATCTGACATCTGAACGTTCATGAATGAAATATCTTTTCGTGTGTGGTGTGTTGTGTTTTGCYGTGTGGCTGTACACCACACACTGTAGGACCAAACCTGGTAGATCCATGATTTTCTATCCTCACATGYGGGCTCTCATCAGTCTTTGAAAATCGGCCGACCGGTTTAAAATCTTGTAGTGTGACTCAGCCTTTAGATGAACCACTGCTCCTGATTTGGGTGGGTCTGTCCTGCATGAGGAGGTGAGGAGTCATGAGTTCACCTGTTCACATGGAGCAGAACCAAAGGAAGTGTTGAGCTGGCTCATTCTGAATGAATCAGGTGAATCAGGGCCCCAACCATAGTCAGGTGATGGAGCACATGACCCTCTATGAACGATAGAGCTAATCAAGGCACTAACAATCTATTGTTAGGCTGATGGTCCTCTTTACATGTGACTAACCTGTTTGTCCACCAGAAGGCAGTGCTTATAAGGCTGAGTTCACCTGAAACTCATCAGACAGAAGAAGTCTCGGAGGAGAGACGAGAACCCATCCAGAGGACCTACTTATTATTTTGTTTTTGAGCTCAACGTTTGTTTCTAACAAGATGCGCCTCCTCTTTTATGCAACTGAATCAAGGATTAATTAATCCAGAATTAGCCAACACCAAAATCCCAGCATAATCCCTTATACTAGTTTTGTGCAGGCGGCTCAGTTGGTAGAGCTGATGCCTCTCAGCAAGAAGGTCACCGGTTCAAATCCTGGCCCGGGACCTTTCTGGGT